ACATGTGTCGTGTATGCCACCAGATAGGTTACCACGGTGAGCGATGTTCGCCGAGGCAGACACCGAGTAGAGAAAAACCAACATTGGTCAAGCTAAGACCTGGCAGGATGGTATTTAAACCCTAAATAGGAGATTGGGTAACATAGGTTCTGCTTGGCTCCCTGGCTGGAGACCTCGGGATGATCGTAACCGATGGTTGGAGACACTGAGTGATATGGCTGGGTGTCGTAACCAGTGGCGTTCGTGCATCTTTTCAATCTCTTTGCAACTTTAGACCACTGGAATTCTCCATTTTATGTTCGATTCTACCTTCAACTTTCGCTTCTTCTCCTATTTTTCATTCAAATGGGCAGCCAAAAAACAGTAATCAAAACCGGTGCACGAATATGCGTGGTTAATGGTTGTACAAACTGAACTGAACTGAATATATTGACTGTTTTGTCGATCTCCTTTAGCAATCGATTCATTGTGGTCGTTTTTTGTTCAGATGGCATCTTACGCACGAATTCCCCTTTAATCATACCGCACGTTTCTTGAATCAATCAAAGATGCGAAGAAGAAAAGTTTTGAATCAGACAGTAGTATGTGATGTTATAGACTAGTGCCCACGGGCAGCACACACCAAGTGCATTGGCAGAGCGAAATAAAATGAGCTATCTAACCGAAAAAATGACAACATCCCACTCCGAACTTAATTCGTATCAGTCAAATGCAGGTATCACACAATCGGGTGATGCAATTGGCAGTTAGAGACTGAAACGGAGCAGTAATACAACAATAACTGTTAACTGGTTACTCCCAAAAGCAGCATTGTTTAGGAAACGGTGCTTCAAAGGTGAATTCTATAATCGAATGCCCAACTTTGCTGTTGAAATGAAAATAAGGTCATTAAAAGTTTTTTTTACCGTTAAACGTACTGAATCACCTCAATTCGAACACCTTTGTCGACCAAGTTCAACGACTGTCCATTTTTGATCCATACAACTGTGGCCAGCGGGTTTCCGGATACCGAACAGGAAACAGTCAACCGGTCTCCATGATTCAATTGTTGATTTGAAAGGCTTGTGACAATCGGTGCATCTACAATTAGCATAAAAGCGCCATCGGAAAAACATTGTTCAGTGGATTGTAAAAAGAAGAGAGTTGAAAAGTGTAAAAGAAACGGGCAATAGAGTAAAACGTATCGTAAATTGGAATAACGCTAAAATCTGTTACTGAGCCCAATGGACATACGTAATCAAGGCTAAAATCATGTCACAGTCATTATAAATGTAACTTGCTTTAAAATCAAAGATGATTTGAATGGTGTGGAAACGAGTACCGTAAAAGACACGTGAAGGCTTTTAAGCGCACCGTTCGGTCACTTGCCAAAGATTCATCTCGAAAGGTTAAATGGTTTCACCTTGATCTTCATAGAGCTAAATAACCACGACTGAAGTAGTATTTCTTCGCTTCACTGTTAATCACATTTCGCCGATAGCGCTGATAAAAGTGATTGCCGGTTACGGTATTTTCATCAGATTTTAGCGCACGTTCTGACGCCGAAAACAAAGCGAAAGTGGTATCTCTACAAACATTTTAATTTTAATGAAGAACAAGGCAGCACAATGTTGCACAATTTATTTCCGGAAAAAAATTCGCTGCATCTCTTCAAGTAGATTCTACAGTCAAAGTATATAATGAAAACTAACAACTAACATTTACTGCGGAAGAGCTGTTAGTGTTGTCTGAATCACTCTTTCTACCAAGGTAAGGATAGAATTATAAATCACTCGTTCTGTTGGCACGGTTCAAGTTTCCATCGTTTTGTAGTAATCACCTCTGCAAACTGGAGCAGCCGACAGTTTTGCGGGATAAGATACTCTTAAATGCTGTAGTCACGTGCATTAGATGCCGCGCGATCGATGACACCGGTGTGCGGCGTTCGGTTGACGTTTGGCCTTGATTATTTGGGTGTGATGCGTTCACCAGTTTGTTGACCCACGCAGGGATGTGTTCGTAAATCACCAGACGAGGGCTTACTCCAATAATCGAGGGTTTGAAAAATAACTGGAAGCAACATTTGTATTTGGTTAGCACAGTGGCAATAACTAGGATTTCAAGTCAGAGAACTGAACTTAGAATCATGAGAGAATAATTTGAACAGACACCAGTGATGAGCTCTAACAGAAGCAAAACCGCCTCAAGTGCTTCCTGCGTGTACGGTTGCATAGATAAACTGTGGATTGCGCAGTCTAATGGATACTCAGTGTGAATCAAAACACCCCTCCGTACCATTATTCATCAGTAACTGCGAAATTCACCTCCAATGTTCATCTTAAAACGAGAGGAAAGTCTGTCACTGGAGAAAGATACAAATGTGCAGTGGAAACCATCAAGTTATGTTTCTCACTCAGCGGGCCTGTTTAGCGACCTCTCTAGAATACGAACGACGGAGACATAGCAGCTGTCCAGAAGCCCAGTGGAGTTTATTTCCTATTTAAAAGGAAATTATATTAAGAGATTATGTAGCTAAGACTCTAAACAGCAGTGACAACGCTCGATGTTGCACAAGTGGACTTACAGAAAGATTAGCTAGTAGCCTCATTATGCGCTCCTCTGCTTGTTTCGGTGCGTGGTGCACAAATGATGCAAAACTGGATGGTTATCCGACCACTATCGACATCATCATCACGGAGGCAAATTGGATATTCATTAATCGTTCTGGTTCACCGTTGGTGGAATTGATAAACACCGATTTTGAAATAAACGATCGAGAGCAGTAAATTGGAGCCTGTCAATCACATCCGGAACCAGAACGATTTCTACCCAAAAACCCTTTGGTTTAGCACGATAGATCAAGCAACTGGATTCCCTA